CGTCTACAAAGTTTTCACTCGAGTAATCCTAAACAGGATTGACGGAACACTGGACGAATGACAGCCATGTGAGCAAGCAGGGTTTCGAAGAGGATTTAATAGGATGGACCACATCCACACGGTAACACGGGTCATTGAAGTATAGCGAGAGCACAAAAGACCGCTCTGTCTCAATTTCACTGATTTACAGAAGGCCTTTGATTCAGTTGAGATAGAAGCAGTCTTGGAAGCCTTTTATAATCAAGGAGTCCCTACTCGGTACATAAAGACTCTTCACGAGCTGTGCAAAAATTCCACAACCAAGATATCATCATTCTACAACGATATTAACATTGACGTCAAAAGAGGAGTTAGGCAAGACGATACCATCTCGCCAAAATTATTTACCGCCACCCTCCAGAATGTCATGCGAACATTGGAATGGGATAAGATGGGAGTGAAAATTGATGGTCGAAAGTTACACCATCTTCGCTTTGCTGATGACACCGTCCTTATAACACCAAACGTTAGCCAAGCGGAACGTATGCCTGACGACTTTGATAAAGCCTGTGGAAAGATTGGTCTTCGACCAAATCTTACAAAACGATGTTCATGAAGAACGAATTGGGTTCGCATGCGCCATTCACGCTCAACGGAACGAATATCTCCGAATGCTCCAGTAATATCTATCTAGGTCGGAAAATCAATATGATGAACGACCTAGCCCCAAAGCTGAGCAGAAGGAAACGAGCGGCTTGGGGTGCTTTCAAGAGCATCGAGGATGTAGTGGAGAGAACAAAGAACACCCAACTCCGCGCACTCCTTTTCCACTCAACTGTACTTCCTGCCCCAACGTACGCGTTAGAAAACTGGTTGGATGTTAGGTGTGTCCCGTTCCACACAAGTAAGGGTTGGGATCCGAAGCTCCGATCTGCGTTAACGATCAAGAATAAAAGATGCCGTTCTGTACCCCAAACAGTCGAAGACAAGATGGGCCGGACAGGCAATGAGTATGAATGACAACCAATAGACAAGAGGCGTTAGTGACTAGATTTTTCGGGAAGTCAAACGTACTGCAGGAAGGCCGCCGACTCGATTGTCAGAGTTTTTCACCAAAGGCGCAGAAGAAATATATATGCTTAACGAGTCCCTAGAGCGAGCAGAACCCATTGGGCTACTCTTGCACGCGACAGGGAAAAATGGAAGATTTACTGGCGCCCGCTCGAGTCACTCGGTGGTCAACGGGACTGCGGGTGATACAGGTGATCAGCGCCTAACACATTGAAGAGAGTGTGAACATCATGGATGTGGCAATGTATTATTCTACATACGCGTTCTAGTTAGACATACCGTACAATGAATGTACAGCCTCTAGTTCACCGCTCATAGAGCGAATCAAACAACTCATCTCTATGGCGTCGCTACCGGATTTGTCTGGAAAAAGATCGTTTCAGCCCATAACTGACTGTGGTTGGTATCTGGGAAGGCACTAACACGGCTATCACAAAATCCCAGCTAAAATCAACTCAATTCGAGGTGAAAAAGAGAAAATTGTCAACTGGTAATCGGCCGGACTTGCACGCATGTTCGAGACCTTCTTGAAAGACGGACACAAGTAATGAACCGAATTAAAGAAGTGTTGTGATCAGCGAAATATGTGAAGACAGCGGTCAGCTGTCAAGTAATTCAAGCCGTTACAAGCAATCTTCATTTCGTTTACGTAACTCGGCAAGGCTTATTATTCACTATTTCCGGCGAGAATGTAGCAATGGGTAATCGGTAACACCTTGCACAGGTATACTTTTAGTTGAGTAATTGAATGAAGTTGAGTTTCTTCAATAGCCTACAGCACCTTGCTAATGGACAACACTTCTGTACATCGCGCTATAGCAACCAGAACAATTTCCACTACATATATTTACGGACTTGAACTAGTGAGTGATGCTAAGTCGACTAATCGCGAGGATACATGGTGCGTTCTGTCCCATGTGGAGACGTAGTGGCTCAATACTAGACAAAAGCAACCACGTTTTCCCTGAGACGCAAATGCATTCATAAGATTAATACTCCTTTATTATACTAAATGACGTATACGTTCGACATGATTGTGCACCTGCAGTTTGGGTGCTTGTGTTTATGGACATGCGGAATATTCGGGCCAATATCCTACACCTAAGTGATTAGGTTTCTCATGGGAACTGGTTTTCGGTTGCCTCAAGAAAACAATCTAAAAGTTTGCCGAGGAAATTCTCCGTTGTCCATGAGAGCATCTAGCCCACCTTGCAGCGCTTGATAACCTGCCCGTTGATATCTGTCATTAAAAGCAAAGTAAAAACAAACGATGTCGGTCCTCTGACCCCGAAACGCTGCAGCGTGAGGCATCTGGAAGAGTACTTGTGCGCGTAGAGGCTGCTAAAATCCATGGGCCATTCTAGATTGTCTTATTGATATCTTTGAATCGTTAGCAGTTTCTATTTCCTATATTTCTGCCTAAAACGAGATTTCATTGTTTCCAAGCACGGTTCTTATCAGGAAACTATTTGGGCAAATCGATGAGAACTTAATGAACGCTACCTCTTGTATATAAGTGCATATCTACTTTTGCTATAAAGTGTCGTAGAAATTGCACCATGGCGACCTTGACGACTTTGTGAGTGGTGCTTGTGGGCCCTTTAGGAAAACCAAGTGTTGGCTTAGCATCGTTCCAGAGATGTCTTGTTGCAGTTCTACTGCGAGTAATCCATTTCAGGATTTCATTGTGGAAACAACTTCGACCTGGTTGGCCCATGGCGGACGTAGGAGCTGTCCGCTTCTGCGGTTGGTTCTCATGTGCGCGTCGTCATGGTGAGCGGATTGGCCAGCCGTGGTCGGCAGCTGGCTGGAACTCAATCTCCCAGAATCGATACTGCTCTCTTATCTCCTCCACTTTCTCTCATTTTCTGGGAGCTTAGGATACGGTAAACGTCGTAGGTTTTTCATCTGTTATACCTACTCCGTCACAAATTCATCTCGCTTTATCTTCACGACCCGGCGAAAATCCACTGCACTTGGGTCGATGCTCTCCCTTTTGATAGGTCTCTAGCCAGTTGTTTTTCTCTACTGCTACTTCAATAACCGATATATGAGGTATTATCAAAAGTATTGTTGACGATTCTTGTTCTTAGCGCATAGTCCGTGAGCCGTATAACTAGTCCGTTATGATAATCTAGTTTTTAGTGAAGAAACGTTGCTTCGTATGTCTTCATCAACAATCACCACAGGCCATTCTTTTAAACGATTACTTTTTAAAACTTCTACTCGCTTTTAGAAAAATTCTAATCTTTCTTTCCTTTATTATATGCTTCTATTCGCTAGAAACATGGTTCTAACAGAACATCGTCAAAGTTGGCCAAGACTTCAGAACATCTTATTTCGCATTGCATCATGTATATAGTTTACTTCATGATTTTGTTAGTACTAAAATCTTTTTACATATTTTATTTTATGTGAACTGTCTTCACGTCTACTTTTCGCATCCCAGTATTTCTCACATTCGATCCATCTTCTCGCATCCATTATCCGCGAAGATCTTCCAACTCTACGTGTGGTTGCTGCTTGAGGATTTCCATTTCTTCTTGAATGTCGTAGAATACTGGTCGAGCAATTTTCACTGGAGTCCTGAGACCCAAGAGACAGAGAGCGATTTTTCCCCAAACAAGTCTGGTACCAATTTCCTGACCCCTTAGGGATGAGAGGCTTGGTCGGCCTGGAGCGAAGTCGAACTACCACCATGCTCGTGATGACGGATATCACTACCACTGTGCTTTCCGCTTCTTTAATACTAAAATTATATTTGCTTTATAACTAACAGCTTTCAGTATCGTATTAATACCACCAACGTTAAATCAAATAGGATGATACTTTCGAATACTATCGGCCTTCTAGAAATTCTATTATTTTTGCTCTTAACGAGAACTTTCGTGAAGGGAATTTTGCATAATTCTAGTTTATGCCTTCTCTTTACTTTTTCCATTTCAACAACGTTTAATCACATTTATTAAGGCTGATTCAGATCCTCGTTCCTTTTTCCGCGATTTCCCACCATCTTTGACAGCAATTAGATAATTTTGTAGCCCTTTTTCACATAGGTCCAGCTTCACTGCTGTTCATTTTGTGGTCTTGTAACCACCGTCTGTGGCGATGCTATTTTTGCTTCACCATCTCCTGTCCTCAATGAGGTGCTGAAGGCTGGACTGGTGCAGTTCCCTTTTGATTCCGTGCTACGTTTGTTTACCACATTGGAGTTCGCCGACTGTTCTTTTGTACTGGACAATGACTCACTACCTTGCGACTAGAATGTTGTAATTTCTGAAATTGATTTACTCTTTTGGACGACATATCCAAGTTCTTTCCAACTTCGTAGACCCTGTTTTGAATTCAACTATCCGCTGTACATTACAGTTTCGCACCCACAAGCACTCTTCATGCAAGAACACAAGGTAAACGAACCGTACTAGGCAGAATGGGGATTTTTTCATATGCGCTACTTCATGTGAACACAATTCATCTTTTTAAGTGGTTCGCCTTTTCTATGTTTGTCTTCGTTACATATATATCAAGTATCCTGTCGGACTCTGGGTTCCATAAGCTCTTTCTCAGCTCTTAGTGATCCTGGAAAGAATGTGATTTTTTTCGTTAGTGAGTAAGGTTTTGTGTTTATGAAGGGATTTCTTTCTTCTCGGGAGGTTCTTAAAGGTTTCCAAAAATAGCTCCATTTACTTCAGCGTTCGAAAAAACTTCGTCATATATCTCATTCCTTAGTTCTGAGTTAAACCCAACTTCGCCTGTGATATACTTCTTTCAATCTACATTTTCTTCCTTAAATACTCCTTTTTAAATATTTTGCAAGAGAACTCTATGTTTACTGTTTACTTTTCTCCTTTCTCTAACTTTATTTAAGAGCTTCATCAGTCGGATGTTACCGAATCTTCTTCCCATGTCTTTTAATAGCTTGTTTAGTTGTGATTTGATTTCAGACGGGTATGACTGAAGACGTGGATGGCCACGTCCTGGACAAATACGATTTACAGAAAAGACTTGGTAAAGGAGCTTACGGAATCGTGTGGAAAGCCATCGATCGACGGACAAAAGACATCGTCGCCTTGAAGAAGGTTGGCCTAGTTCATCCTATTTTATGACCATAAAGAATTAGAGATGTTGATTTGCGTTTTTTATAGTTAAAAATGCTGATAGCAATAGATTGAACTTTTCACTAGCTCCAACCTCAGTTTGTAGTTTGCGAAGCCTAAGCCAGTTCATCATTATCTACTTACAAAACGATGTTTTCTGTCTTTTATTACCATATTTGCTATAAGAAGAAAAACAAAAAAAGGAAAACAAGACAAGAAAGCAAAGAATGTGAGTAAAAATGAGGACTTTCGATACACTTATTTTTTTAGTTCTCAGATGCTAACTAGTCGTGCCGTAGACAGAACGAAACCATAGAATGTTCCTGGATTTGGTCCAGAAAGTCTCACAGTCTGACTAACCACAACAATTACCTTTATTTCACATTTAATAGTCAATATAAACTAAATGACTAACAAAGGTTGATTGCTTACTCTGGTCTTCTCAGACAAAAACACTATAGTGACTTCAAGCATACTGAGATATGAGTAAAACTCAGAGCCCCAGTCGTCCTTCAAACCCGTGATTACTCGCGATTACTCCTACCGGGAATTCACCTGCTGTCGACCATACCAACGGAGGCCCTTGCTTTGTCTTTCTCTCTCCTCTATTTTTCGCTGACTTTTACTGGCCTTTTTTAAATTTTAAGACAATATGGTTTCGACTACAGCTTGATTTTCACTTTGTTCAATGACGATTTGTTCTCGCCAGATCATTTCCATTGACGAGTGGTTGCTGGTAGCATCGATGGTGTTATGGCCAAGAGAAAGGCAAACCAAAGGCCTCGGTTGATGAGGTGAATAAGCACGTGAGCCCCTGTTAGGGATAATCGCATGCCAGAAGGTTAGCTGAAGTTCCGAATTCTGCTCACATATCAGTATCCTCGAAATCAATGTGGTGGTCTTCTCTGAGAGCACTGTCGGAAGCAATCAAGCACAATGCTCGAAACAACGCTGGTAGCACGTATCTTTGATTTTCGGTGACTAAATTTTCAGCTACTTCGCCTTCACGGCAGCCTAGAAGTGTTGCATTACCGTATCTTTATTAATCGGTTAATATTCTATAGTCTTAATGAAACATCATTGTACAAAGCAAACCCTTATCTCTGTTGCTCACACAGGGTCTGTCTTTCCCTCTCTCTCTCTCTCTCTCTCTCTCTCTCTCTCTCTCTCTCTCTCTCTCTTTCTCTCTCTCTCTCTCTCTCTCTATCTATCTATCTGTTCTTATAGTCCATATAAAATGTGCAGGTGACTTAGAAGAAGAGATAACTGTACAAATATTGCTTGCGGCTATTTTTCATTACACTTTTGTGGAAAACGCCGAAGACAAGATGAAAAAAAGAGAGATGATCATATGTGAACACCCTAGCGATGGTCTCACTACTTATAAAACGAAAACGGTGTCAGTTTATCGAACAGATTAAAGGTTTTTCGTACATTAGCCTTTCATTAAAGCTGTGGATGATTTACTGAATAATATGGATGAGGAATGTAGCGCAGTGGTCGGAGGCGCCCCGCAACACACACCTGGACCACCGAACCCACGACCCACCACGCCTTCCATCGCTCCGGGTTCTGAAAATTGATACTAGACTCGTCTGGGAGGATAGCAGCACTGGCCCGATACATCGGTAGGTCACCACGAGTCACTGTAAAGGCCAGATATGCGGTGCATCCCTCAGGCATCGATCAACGCCGAGAACTTTATCTTTTATCTTTAAAATGGATGACGTCGTATAACAATCCATCCAGATTTTGAAGAAGACCAATCGCCGAAATGTTATCAGCGAAAAATCAAAAACGGTGTTAACAACCTCATAGCAGTTTTTCAAAGACAGTTCGCAAGATCTGAAATGTTGATTTGAATATTGGTCAATTTGGGTTTGGTATGTGTTAAGTCCAAAGCACGTTGTCGTTTGTAATAGCTCTTCTTTATCTCGAAAATTTTCTAGGAACCTTTCAACCTCATCTGTCTGTTTTAAAGTCGACGAATATCCGTTCAATACACTTTTCCAAGAAGTCCTTTAACACTAGCGAGCAGTGTTCCAGATTTTTGATGCGTTCCGAAATCAAACCGATTCACAGCGAACATTTCGTGAGGTGATGTTTCTGCAGGAATTTGGTAGACATCCCAACGTCATCAAATTGTTCAACATCCATAAAGCTGACAACGATCGGTGCGTTTTTCCATACACTACGATCATGTCCTCATCAAAAATTTCTTCCGGACAAATATCGTTGCGGCTGTGGAATGCCATTCTGTTAATGGTTCTGGTTTCATTTACTGCTTATTGAGTAACGGATTGTAACAGTAAAAACCAAGTGACTCGTAATGTTCCACATGGAAAGGTTTTACCAACTTTCTTCACATTGTTTTACTTTTTTGTATACCGCCTACTAAAGTTTTAATGACAGGGTATTATGCGAAATAAACCACAACAATGCTGAGATATTCGCAAAACTTGGATACATCATGTGCCAGTTGTTCCGTGCAGTTTTCTATCTACCAGTGCCATAAGCACTGAGCTAAACTAGCTGAGAGAAACCCAGATCAAAGGCCTCCATTGCCAAGTGTGTAGTGCGCGAGTCCCCAGAAAGGGAAATCGCGGTTCGTGTGACCCGGGGTCCAAGTGTTTTGCGAATATCTCAGCATTGTTTTGGCTGATTTCTTCACATCATCCTTCCATGCCAACGTTCATCATGGAAATTACTGTTGCACTCAAACTTACCAAAATTTTCACAATGCAGCTATCCAAAACCTTTTGGTTGACTCATCAAACAGTAGCGAAAATTTGGAAGATCGTTTAAAAGTCAGGTTTCTTTTTTCAAGTTGATTCCACCCGTAATTTGCGCGGCAGTAGAGTTCTTCTGCTTGAAATCGTCTTTTTTCTTCCGACTAACTGACGTTTATTCAGAGATATCTACTTGGTGTTTGAATACATGGAAGCCGATTTACATAATGTCATCAAGAAGATGACAATTCTGAAGGACGTCCATAAGCAATACATCATGTGCCAGTTGTTCCGTGCAATTCGTTTCTTGCACAGCGGAAATGTACTGCATCGGTGAGTTCTAATCACTTAATGTACTGGCACTTCAATCTGCACAGTTCTTTGCTGCCAGTCGGGTAGTCGTCATCATAGAAAAAAAGAAGGTTCGCTAAGGAATCATAGATGAGCGGAGCGGAACGGAATGGAACGCGGAAGGAGCGGAATAGCCAAGCGCTTCAGTCGCTGCGCTCAGAAAAAGTCGGATTTTTCGAACGAATGAGAGCTCTCTGAATGATTCTTGCTTTTGTTTCACCTGAAAAGAAAAAACATCGGAGCAGTGAACTCAATAAGATAAAAATGATGTAAACGAAATCAGTTAGGAAGCGTTAATGAAGCAAATCTGTTTGTGGATTCACGCTGGTCCTCTCGAAAACGACAAAATTTCCAGAAGCCTTTCACCGACGTCACTTATTGCACGATTTTCTTTTCTCTCTCTGTCGTCTGTAATTTTTTTCAGAGCGTTTTTTCCTGCACTTATACCAGGTTGCGTCAAATATTACTGCTATGTCTTCATCCGCATTCTTTAGACGAGCTCGTTTTCGAACATTTGCTCATTTTTCATTCACTTTCGAGTCTTTGCATGGCTTCAGAGATGATTATGAAAGAAAACATTTAAGAAAAACTGGGTACTCAGCAGACTTATGAAAGGATTTATAATGAATTAAATAGATCGTAGCGCTTAGAGCATTTATATCGTACATAGAATTTATATCCTACTTGTCGAGGCAACAATGGTTTTCTCTTTCTATCCGTATGAAGCTTCCGATTACTATCGTATTTTCCGTGTGTGGCGCAGTGGTTGGAGGCGCTCTGCAACACACACGTGGACCACGCCCTTGTCTAGGAGGATAGCAGCGCTGGCTCGATAAATCAGTAGGCCACAGCGAGTCATTATAAAGGCCAGTTGTGCATTCAATCATCTCCGAACAACACTTAATGAAGTTTAGCACAGCGTATCCCTCAGCGATTGATCAACGCCGAGAGCTTTATCCTTTTATCCTATTTTCCACAATGCAACTTCGAATATATCGAATATTCATAACACTTCCCCAGTTTTCCCATTTAATGCTAAGCACATAGGCAGAAAGTGAACCACTGATGGTCCGACGACGTGAATTTCTGTGAAAGGGGAGACTTACGAATAAATTAGCTTTCCTGCGACTACTGTAAGTAGGTGGCTAATCCACTGATCAAATCCGATCAAACTAATAAGTAGTAAAGAGGTTTGGAAATTTTCTAGAGAACGCGAAAATATTTGTGTCTTCTTCTACAAAGTACGAAATTTCAATTTGTCCTTTGCTGGTTCATTATATTCTAGAAAACTTCCAGTTCTCAATAAATCGATGTTTTCGTTCTCGTTGAATCGAAAAATCAATTATAATGCGCTATATCGTTTAAGTGGGATGAGAGGTGGAAGCACTTCATTTCGTCTATATCGACTCAGCAGCTGGTTGCTTATTACGATGAAAACCCTTAACCATCTATCACCTCATCCTGGTTGGAAATGTTTCTCAGTATCGACCCTGGATTTTGTTCATCGGCATGGTCATCCAACCTGACAATAAATCCGAGATTTCCATACAAAAACCTAAGAAGAAGCGCACCAATTCCAAGAAATCATCGTAGCCAGAAATCACGAATTGTAGGAATTATTGTGATCAGCAAGACGCCTCAATAACTTTATAGTTACAATTTTTGTGGTTAAATGTTCTACAGATGGATTTCATTTATTTTTTCTTTTATTCCTATTTTATTCTATATGACCCGTTCACATCTACTATGCGGATCCCACTACTTCCCACATTCGATTCGTTTCCTCCATTCATTACTCACGAAGATACGAAGATCTTCCGACTTTTATGTGTGGCTTCGGCTGTTGCTTGAGGATTTTCATTTCATCTTGAATCCCGTAGAATGCTGGTTGAGCAACTCTCTCTGAAGTTTTGAGTTAGCCAGACTGGAGCGTTCCCAACTAGATTGCAGAGATTCTCCTCGAGCGCGATCGAGTCAGCACCGTGCTCGTGATGACCAACATCACTGCCACTATGCTATTCGTACCTTTGTGATATACGAGAAGTAAGTAATTGATGTCATATTAGGATATTTCGGATTACTAAAACACTTGATAACATGTGTTCTTCAAGGTATAAGAGCACCACCCTAAAGGATTTCTGGGTTAGTTGGTTAATTTTGCTAATCTCCTGATCTATTTAAGAAAAAATGTGTCTTCAGAAATGGTTCATACTTGATATCATACGCAGAAATCAAAGAAAGCACCAGTTGCCTTCACTACTGGAGAAAAACAGCATACTGTAACGGCAATCGTTCCCAGTCTCCTCTCAACCGCAATCTGCTATGTGCCGAGCATAAATATAGAGGGCTAGCAACTCGATTCATAAATTTTCCGAATATCCGTTCGTATCTGGCAGCTTTCGACTGTCCGATTGTTTTCTGTGCCTGTTAAGGTGTTTAGGAATAAATGTTCCGTGCAAGCAAAAACCAGTTGATATCAGGTTATTCGTGATTCCTCCGAACTGTTCGTTCTCGGCGCATAAAGTTTCCTTTACTTACTTGGATACTTGGATGGCCCGTCTTCACTGGTTGTGCGGGCCCCAGCATAATTTCCGTTTTCTCGTTTTGCTGGTCTTGCCATTGTGGTTCCCTGGAGTCTCGAGGTCAGCCTAGCCAAAGTCTGCCACCAGGCTGTCACCACCACAGGCAGTCGCTAACCTTTATGGATAAGAGGATTTGCCGCCATGCGACTAGTTTCATACCAATACGGTAATGAACCCTGGGATTGATTTACCTGGACTTCCTAATGAAAACACCAGACTACTTCTCAGCTTGGGAGACCCTGTTTAGGGTACGAATCCCTCCGCTGTAGATCGCAGCTCCACACCCAGGAACACTTCCCAGCCATGATGAGCCGGTAAACTGTTGGAAGGAAAGTTTCCTCTAGATAATGTTAATCTATCTTTATAGTTTAAATTGATCAAAACTATTGAAGTACGGTGCTCTTTCTTCTAAGTTCTATATAGAAAAATTCTGCAGACAAATTTCAGAGCCTTCTTAGTTGTCCGATGAAGGTAATCAGCATTGTGTTACTTCACTGCTAGAAACTTCATTTCGTAATGTTACTGCGAACACGTACCGGAACACTTGTGATGAAATGGATACACACCTCTTTAACAGCTCATAGAGGCTTTTCAGCACAGTTTTTGTATTCTATCGATAGCTTGTCAGACGTAGGTGTAATATAAGGGGTGGTTCTTGAAAAGCTGATCTCTACACTTAGTAATTTTCAAAAAACCTGCTTTGGACGAGTTCATTTTCCGGCGATAGTACTGCTTTCGAAGGTATGGGCAGTGAAGAGGCGCAAAAATGCCTCTGCTTGGGCACTGGGATTCAGCACTTAGGGAAAGCTCTTCTCTATGTTAAGGTGATAAATCACTGGGGAGGCTTCTTCCAAGTGGTTTGGTGCCCACAGAGTATGCGTTCGTCAATGAGATTCAGGAGAGTTTGTCTTTAGAAACCGTCGTCAAGTCTAATCACCTCTTTATTTAACCTTTGTTTCGCAACTGACCGTTTCCATTTTTGAATGCAACGTGTATATATATATATATATATATGTACGTATATAGATGTATGTATGCATATACATGTTCATATATACATGTATATATATATATATATATCTTATGTACCGTATATGTATCATAGGTATAGCTCAATACTAATAACTGATGACAATAATAACAATGACAACTTGCAGTTCTTATCAACAACAAATAATTTTCATATCGAAGGTAGTACCAGTGATACATCCAGACACTAGTACTTCCCAAGTAACCTAAGTTAAAGCCCATTTTGAATTCATTCAGCGATGTTCGTCGCTCACGCTTACTAGAAATCCTCTATGCGTTCACTAGTCACGACTAATCTGAGTAATCAAATGGAAAAAAAGGCGCGTGTACTATCGATATCTTTATCTACGGAATCGTGCAGAAGCCTTGTCACTACCGAATACGACACATCTTCCGTTATGGAGGGATCACAAACAACATATATATACCCCTGTATATATATATATATATATATATATATATATATATATATATGTACATATATAATGCAAAATGCCGGCTTTCTATGAACCTCGGCGTAAATAATTGATATATTTATTTATATAATCTTATAAACCGATCTTTTTGAGCTGATGCGAGGTTGACATAGGTCTTCGTCGTCGTTGTTGTTGCTGTTGTTGTTGTCGTTGGTGTTGGTGTTGGTGTTGTTGATCCATGGCTGACATTTCGGTAACTTCGCCTTCCTCAGAGCCGTGTAACAGCACGGCTTCCAGTTTCTGTTTTTCTGCCTTCGTAGTAATCGAACAGCGTTGCTCGCATGAGCGTTAGCGTAGCCGAGCTTTCCACTGCTTTTACTCAAATTAGTAACATAACTTCATTATTTTTCGGAAGTGTTCTGATCAGTTTCTTTCCTGTTCAAAAAGAAAAAACACTATCGAGACGCAATTCTAACGAATTCTGTGTATGCGACTTATAAAATGGAGAACTCTTCTTAGTGAAACGAAATCTTGGACTCGTTACTGTTGTTAGTTAAGGAAGTTATAAGGCAACGGAGAAAATAGGATAGAAGAAGACCTCGCATTATAAGTAGTTGATTGATTGATAATTGACAATTGATTGATTGAATTGATTTCGTTTCACTCTTTCGAAGTCATTATAGGATGTTCCGAAATAGAATTACGATTATGGCAACGTTTTTAGAAAATTCTAGAACGATTTGATGACAGAAACTATTGCTGAGGACGTTATATTTCTTTTTTAATCCGCTCTTATTCTTATGAAGCCATGATATTTACCGTTTCTCCAAAATTTGCTTTTTCAAAAATTTTCCAAACTTCTACAATAGATGCTGTAGGTGATTTTCAAGCAGAGACTTGTTCTAAGCCGATTTTTCCTAGTATCTAGCGCTTTCACCTCCTCTCAGTTACTCTTCCGTAGCAGAAACGTAATTTGATGTGTCGCAGCAATAAACTCAACCCACGCAGCTATCACCAACACGGTCTCGTTACTGACTCTTGAATATCAGTAAGTGTAGAGAGACGTTTCCTGTTTGTTTTTGAGCAATACGTATACCTATAGACGAACTTCTTACAAAGAAGGACGTGTTGGAAAATCGCTGAAAGCGGAAACAATTAGCATTCCTTTGTGATCGTTCATGCGACAAAATCGCACTATAAACGTATCTCCGGTGAGGTAAAGCTCTAAAAAATAGGACGATTAATATCACATAAGGGCACCATTGCTTGCATACCCTCATTCGCATACACTGCATAAAGCACCGTCGTTGACGAATCGCTTAGAGATACGCCATGCATCCAATTCCATTCGTAGCATCGTAGTCGTGATTAAGTGAATGTTTAGCCCATGCAATGACTACCGAGCTCTCCCGGTGTTACGACACGGTGTTTTTACAGACCGACTTTCATTTGAGCGCAACATAGAAAGTCATATCATATTATATTGATAAGCTTGTAAAAGGTTGTTACAAACGTAACGCTGTGAAGAACGCAATGATGCCAAGAGGTTACCCACGAGATGTACTATGCAACAACTTTATGCAAGCTTGGCAAAGGAACAAGATGCCAAGTCAATGTTTTATCTTCCCATACAAGCCCAGGTCCCACTTTACTGACCAGGAGAGCATAATATTTAGCCTTTGGTGCATGATTGAACCAAAGAGCATGTGCGTATTCGAAGACATCTCTAACCACTGCCGAGATATATGCACACGTATATACAACATATATCCAAGTGCCATGTGCATAGATACACAAATATTGGATAATATTACGAGGAAGAAAATCGAAAAACTGTGACTCCATCAGTAGAATAACACTTCTTTCAGCATGGAGATCAACCAGCAAGGCTTCGGCAAGCTGTTGACTCTTCATCGTTTTTTTTAATTTTTGAACATCTGGTTACCTAATTTTCTTTGTATAGTTTTTTATTAGCGTTAAACTTTTTATAGATGTCATGCTACCAGCTTCAGGACTATGATCACTGAATAAATTGAAGTTGATGAGACTCTAAAACTAGAGATATTTCGTACTCTTTTCTCTAAAAGACATATGTATATCAAATTAATAACCGTAAGTCTCTTCCTTTATTAGCGTTCGTTCATTCGCAATGAAGCTGCTCAGTTTCTCGTTGACACAGGAAAGAACACGACTACGTTTGTACTGCTTGTTGACTAGACGAGGTGCTGAACGCAGTGCTGCGGCATAATTTGGCTCATGCACAACATAGCTGGTTACCCTTTAGGGCTGTTATAACTAATGGTGTGAACTCAGTGCGCTTGCAGGGATCTGAAGCCGTCAAACGTTCTCCTGGATGCCGACTGTCGAGTGAAGTTGGCTGATTTTGGTTTGGCGCGATCATTATCTTCGGTGAGTTAATATTTGCTTTAAGGTAGCTGTACTCTCAAGAAAAACAGAAAATAAATGATGACGTCATAAAACATGTTTGCCGATGATAAAGAAATAAGGATATAATAAATGACACAATATGTTTATCATTACGAAGCTCAACAAAGACCGTGGCTTAACATAGGAGCATCAGCGAGAATTGAATATGTTCACTAGAATAGTTCCTTCTAAAATAATAATGATATATCTGTAATTTACAACTACATTAAGTCTTCCGACTTTTTGGAAATCAGTGTTTACCACCACAGTCTCTCTTCATTTTCCTTCCTACACTTTCAGTCATAACTTTCTACTATTTATTATCTTCCAAAGGATACACTGCTTGACCAGATAAGTTCCACTCTTAGGAAAAAGGCGTTAGAATTCACTGAATGGGACTAAACTCTGTCAGTAGAAACTTGTTAATTCAGCTCGAAGACTATCCGGAAGGCCAAAATATGCCCGAATTGACTGAGTACGTGGCGACGCGGTGGTATCGAAGTCCGGAGATCCTCCTGGCAGCAAAGAGGTACACGAAAGGTGTCGACATGTGGAGTCTTGGCTGTATTCTGGCCGAAATGCTTCTCGGTAATGGATCTACTAAGCTTTTTTGTTTCAAAAAAGGAAAAGCTGTCGGCATTAATATCAAATTTTGAGGAGTTTTGGTCCATATGAACGAATAATCTACTAATTAAGGGCGAGCCTTGTTCCCCGGAACGTCGACAATCAACCAGATCGAACGAATTATGAACACGATCATTCACCCGAGCCGAGCTGACATTGAGAGCATTGGTTAGTTGTGCCGCTGTTCAACGTCGTCATTGTTCGGAGTATCAAATTCCGGCAGCTCATACATCGAATGGGAAGATTTCCTACAAGCGAGGAAATATCGAAAATTATTTTTGTTGCCAAAATTTGTAACAATATTACTTGTTTCATTTGTAATCCCTTAATCATTGATAAAAGAATTGAAGCTTAAATGAGGGAGAAGGAGAACTTCCCAGCTAGCACCGTTGGGTTTGGTATTTTCTTGTCCCTTTTCGGAACATCCCTTTTTATAGACCGACGGTAGGCCTCTTCACAGTCAAAAACCTGCGTAATATGTATGATTGCCGACAATAAACTTCCAAATACTTAGCGGAACCTTGACTCAATGTTCCGATTTGTAAGTAGAGAGACCAAAGCGCACCATCAAATTTTCCGTTTGTCCTCAATGCCTACTTTCTACGTCACCACCGTTCGAAAAACATATGGTTATTATATTATAGTATCCTCCTCCATCATAGCATAACTTCAGTGTCAGCTGGATTTCAAGTGAGAATGCCGAACTCCTTTCTAGCAATGGTCGCGTTGCCGGTACGGCTCGATTTAAGGTTTAACATCCCGGCCGATTCACTTGCTACTTCTTATCGCAGCTTGATTCCGAAAGAACTGCATTCTTTAAAGATTAGAAACAACGTATTGAAAGGAATTTCACGGTGACATTGTTAGATTCGTTCAAGATTCTGTAGATCTTCAAAAATACAAAAGAAAAGGAATCGACAACCTCTTGTCACGAGACTAGTACATAGCTGTATAATCGATTTCGACGGAAATTTCGCTAGACGTTCAGGCAGTCACTACGCGGCGTCGGTGCTGGATAAGATGCCGCAGCGACCCCGCAGGACCTTGGAGATGATCATCGGCTCCAGCCATCCGCAAGCCCTCGATCTGATTCAGAGGTTAGTGAGTACGTCATCTGTTACTCAAGATCCTCTTTACCGACTGTTATCGATCTGTGCACAGATTATTGATTTTCGCGCCACATCGTCGTCTCAACGTCGAACAGTGCCTCGTTCACCCGTACGTTGTGCAATTTCACAATCCAGCCGATGAGCCGATCTTACCGTATGGTGTGAGCGTGTCTGAGCTATCCTTTTCATTTTTATCTATCATCCAAACCTAACAGTTCAATTACAATCAGCATTTGTTGTTATCTATTGATTTTTTTTATTTCATAATTTCATTTTTTTCTCAAGTGAAAACAACTTGATGGATGAATCTTTGCCAAATATTTTCAAATGTAACAAACTACTGAACTATGCATTTAGTTCATTTTCCCTAAAAAGTAAAGTAGTAAAGTAGTAGTTTTCCTGAAGATAACCTTACTTCGTAAGTGTTCAAAATAAATTTTTGACTTCGATGATGCTGAGATATTTGCAAAACTGCGGACCGCAGGTGTATGCGGTGAGGGACGAACGCGCTAGTGTCCCTTCCGGAGAGTACCGCGTTCACCACCACACCACGTGGGTCCTTCGTTTCGCCTGTCTCTCAGCTAGTTCTATCGATCTTTTGCCATCAGCAATTACCCGTCAGCTGGATTGATCTGGGGGCCCAAATCGGCAACGAACCCAGTTAAGCTGAGGTCGCAGTTATAATCACACCTGCCGTTAAAAAGAGTAGGCAGTAAATAATAAGTTAAGAAATAAATTTTTGAAATCGAAAAGTATGCGAAGACTAATAGGGAATGCAACCAGAGTAAGAGCATTTGCACTGGGGCGGAAAAACGGCAGTGGAACGAATAAGTATAGTAATTTACCTTTGGATAATCTTATCAAGTTTGTCTACCTTGAGAATTCATCTTCATGTTTACTAAACATCTTTGCTGACAATGTTGAGAATGAAGACTCGCTTTTCTATTGTTCATTTGAGGGCTGAAAGATTTATTTATTTATTTATTTGTCTATTTATTCAACAGACACGATTATTGCTTGAGAACAGAAGGAAATATTTATTTTTGTGCAAATCTAACTGGACTGGTTTTCTTTCAGAACTCTGAAATGAGTCCCTTAAAGACGAATTACTGTACTTCAGGTGAACCTTCCGTTACCAGATCACATCCAATTATCGATCGATGACTACCGTAACAAACTGTACGATATGATGAACCAGAAAAAGACCCACATCAGACGGATACAGCACGACAAAATCAGATTCGTAGGTGCAACTTGTCCTTCTGCATTGCTGATATCCTTAGGAGAATCTCAACCTCATGAAAAAATTGACAACTGGACGAGATTTCCCTCGTTAAAATACACAACTTAGAATTTGTCTCTGGAAAAATTCCATTTCATTGTATTTTAGTGTTTCTCTTGCTAAGCAAACAAGATTGTATTTCGTGAGAGCACCGCATCCAACATGTGCCTTGTTCGCTTCTCAGTGTGGGAATTCTTCAGAGCACAATCCACTTTCTGGTGGTAACCGAGATACTGTTCTCCTTCACTTCGGCCTCCTTGAAGTAACTCTCATTCAGACTCACATATCCATACATGTATACACATGTATATGTATATATATATTCACCTTATGCGTAAGATCTCACTTAGATCTCCACACTCAAGAGACTGCGCATTGAAGATGAAATCCGAAACATATAGACGTCCTTCCTTTTGTAGTATGGGATGATCCTCTATCTAGAGAAAGTTCTAGATTAAACCATTCTAGTTGATGGAATTTTGCTGTGTACATTTTAAAAATAGTTTTGTTATATTTCATTGCTATTAAGGAATCACCGGCGAAACCAGAGTTGAGAGAAAAGAAAGCTACGGTTTAAACAATAAAATTTTCACCTTGATGGAGATATTTCGTTGTAGTCGATGTGAATTTTCCTCAAATTACTTTGGCATAATAATATTTCAAAAACCGGCTTTCTTTGAACCTTGGTATGATAAGCGAACTTGTGCTTGAAGTGTTGAGCTTGCACGAGGTTTGTGCCCTGTAGTAGTTGATAATGATACCGACTTCTGCAGGACGGATTGTCCGGAGAAAACAAGTCGTTATCACGCGAAAATCACCACTATCACCAGCCAGTATCCTATATAAGAGCGTCGACGGGAGAGTATGCCTCATTCGAGAGATGCTCCGCTGAGGAAGATCTAATTCGACACGAATACGAAAACGTGACTTCGAAAAGACGAACAGCTGTGGATCATCAACCCGGATCATCGGCTCTGAGTAAGACGAAGATGTCGAAACGTTAACCGAATAAAGATTACTTATCAACCCCATGTAAGCTCGAACAATTTAAATATGTTTCTTCAAAATCTACTTAAACGTACGAACATTTGCGGAAAATTTTTTTATGATTCATATGTACTATAAATAGTTGATTGAAATTGGAGTCCTTCTTAGTATTCGCTAACCTATCGAGAACAGATATCAATTAAACATAAGACCCTAGTTTTTCTGTCACCCACTATGGCAGACGAGGAGGTTGTATACGTACTAAATATAAACAGTAATGATAAGGAACTGACGGGATAGGTTGTTGTCGTCACCGCAGAGCAGGGAATTTGCTGCGAACCTGGTTGATTGAAAATCTGAGACAGTTTTCTGAACCCATGGATTGCTGGTTTTTATTCCGTACATTACTTCTAATGTCTCAACAGTGTTAGTTAGCGTACGTGCTTTCGTTTATGTTAGTCGACCTTCTCACGTAGACATCTCAGGTGCAGTTGTTTAGGTTGAGCGACCACAGCCAACCACAACGAAGTCGTTGACACCGGCCAGAGAAGGAAAGACGATAGGCAAAGGTGCGGCTCCTATTGCACAAGCCGAATGCAGCGATACGGACTATGATACTGCCAGAAGCATAGCCAGAGCGATCAGCGTGGAGAAGAACGGCATTCTGTGCAGTGGAAACACGTTAAGAGGTACGTGCAGTTCATGCCGTCGAGGAGCATCACTAGAGGATGATGACGGTATTACTGACGAAACTTGTACGAAACTAATGTTGTAGTAATATTCATTTACAACAATAATAGCTACTTTGTGGTGTTTCTTTTTCAATAGCTAGGGAGTAAGAAGGAGGAGTTGAACACCTTCTGTTATCTGGAGCACATGTACTGCTGTGCAGCTACAGCAAACAAAGTACTTGTTATTCTCTCTAATTTTCTCGTCAAAGTTTGTCAGCGCTTTAACATTCTGCTCACTAAGGGTTACAGTCGTCGTGCGTTACTCACAATGACAATATTTGTCCCTCGACTGACATGAATGGCTAGAAAAAGGAGGAACTGGAACAATTAAATGTAGTGTGTAATTAGGAATTAAGGCCAAGATTTAGATCATCAGATAGCAAAAGTTTTATTGAAACTTCTGATAGCAATAGATAACTGCGCTGCTAGAATGGAAGGTTCACTATCGTTCTTCATTGACTCACATATGTCCATCCTTTTTTTTGGAACGAAACAGTCGGAGGCGAAAAAGAAAAGAAATGTTCGTCGCTTGTCTATTTACTGCAGAAAACATCCCCAAGGCAATATGTTGTACCGGTTTTGTTCTCTGTGAAAAACTAAGCAGAATTAAAACCACAACGATGCTGAAATATTCGCAAAACTTGCACGCCAGGCCAGAGCGAACCACGATCTCCCTTTCTAGGGACTCACGCATTGCAGACTGCGCCACGGTGGGCCTTGCTCTGCGTTTCTCTCAGCTGATTTTCTACTTAACGCTACCATTAACAATCAGCCGTCAGCGGGACCGATCTAGGGAGCGCGAATCGGCATTGAACCCAGCTAAGTTGAGGAAGTAGGGTAAGTTTTGCGAATATCTCAGCATCGTTGTGGTTGTAATTCACCTCATACTCTGCGTTAAAAAATTGTAATAGGTAGGAAGTAAAAGGTTAACATTGTGGCTTAAACACAGTTAGTTTTTCAACAGATTTGCTTTTTCTCTACAGAATTGTATCCTGCGTGTTTTACAAGGTTTTTTTTGAATATTCCAGTAACTCAACTCTCCCAAGCATAAATAAAAAATTGCAGCCAAATTTCATTCACATCATGTCATAAGTAGTTCTCGTTCATGATTAACCACTAGTCGCCATGTTGGTTATAGCACGATTACTTGATGATGTATCTGAATTCTTAGAGGCTATTCCAGTGCACATCTGAGTCAAAAGTATGATATATATATATATATATATATATATATATATATATGGTAATTCTTGAGTGAAAGCTGGCAAGACGGTACGTCCATCATTCCTGAGACAGCATAAAGATATGTGGGCGTGGATGTCGAAGAGGTCAGGGTACAGTTTTTAGGGAGCCTTCTCCATTGATGTTTAGAATCCGGACAGTTTCTTTCGGATATCGAAGAGCAGCTTATTTCGTTCCGTTTTTGTGAAATCTCGACTGGACTTCTTTGTACTCATCATAGCTTTCCACTTATGATTTTCATCTGTTGCTTTCCAGCAGATCCTTGCAAACTAATGTATAAATTAGTAATTGGCCGCATCGTATTTTGTCGATATTTTCGCTCACTAGAAATCTGTAAAGCAAATAGAAAATCTCAAGTTGCTGTTGATTCAATCTTTGTTTTTTGTTATTTTTGAAATTAGCACCCAGAACTGTTTCGGGTTGACGCAAAATGAGCTGTATCTCATCTTCGCTCTTGAATAGTGCTCGGAAGCAAGCGACAAAGAGTGTCATATTTTTCCAACTTTAAAGGTTTGATTTTTGTCACTGTTTGTCATCGTCAATGTTGACCAATTGTTGTTACACGAAACAAATGGAGTAGTGTTTGTTGGTTAAAGAGATCGAAATCTACTGCTTGTACTGACGAGAGAATAAACTGCGCTACTTCCTGCTCTGAGATTTTAGCAGCCTAGCAGTCTCAGTCCATCCAGTGCTGTCGCATCAGAAGCTTTTTCAGAGTCAGAAAAAAAAGAAGAAAAAAGAAAAATTAAACTATTTATTTTTACTGATTTCATCAAAGACACACGCGTAGCTGCTGGATTTTGCTCTAAAGTGGAGATAGCCTTTAGTCGACGTTAAGATCTCTACCTTTCACTTGGGTATAGTCGCAAAGCGTTATGAATACAATCATCTCGAAATCGAAGATAGCTGGAACTACCAAATAGACACCGAATGTAACTCCGTCCCATAATGTACGATTTAAGAGATTGTCAAAATTGTACTCTGGAGACATGAATAAATCTATACACTGTGTGCGAATGCTCATTTAACCTCTTCGATTTTTTTTCGGACTCGATTCTTAGATGAGTGTTAATTTAATTCATCATATAGACCTTCAAGTGTAGGTGCAAAATTTGGCCTTTGGCTTCAGCATGGCAAGCAACTAGCGAAAGTAGCAGAATAAATGTGACAGTTTAAATGATGAGCCGCATGAACACCGTTGACGATTATATGAGTATGTTCTGTTTTTCATTTCAGACCGTGCACAATCGGCCGATTCACATTCATCGAAACAAAACGGCACTACCAGAGGCCGTCGAAGGTCAATCGAGCGGCCGAAGATGTTTAGTGGACTCAAACCGTCTCGTCTGATGAACCCACATAAGCTGATTTCAAACTACTGACCTTACTCGACGCACGGGGTTCGGACCGAGGTTGAAAGTCAGAAAAGCGAGTAGATTAATTCAGTCACCTCATCTTGTGACAATCACACGGCTCAGTAATGAGCATGTGAGTGCAATGCATGCCGATATTCATGGGACACCTTTTGGTCTGCACTTCATCTACCGTTATACTCATTAATCTATCTGGGTAACCAACGAATTGATAGGTTAGTGCACATCTTGGTAGGCACCAATAAGCAGTCATCGGATGGTCCAGAGTGAAATGAGCGGATTCAGAATTCTGGGTTTTCTATTCGTTCAAATAGAAATGTATAGCCTATGTTAGGTGTGACGAATTTCATCAAACAAACTCTCCTACTATTTCTTTCTTTTCTTTCTCATTTTCCTCCTTATATCTTCTCTTTTTCTCCAGTTTTCCATATAGAAATTTTCGAACTTTCAAACTTAACCGGTGGCAATCTTACTTCATTCATGAAAAACTTGACAACTTCGCCTATTTCTATGGTTTTTCTCATTCGTACTCTCAGCACCACTTTTCCAGTCTTTATCCGATCGCTTTGATACTTTAACATTATAATTCTGACAAGGTCAGCTACAACTTTACACTCATCAAGTCAACTAATATTACAGCAGGCTCACCCACACGAGTAACGGGCTTCAATCTCCTTTTCACTTTTCTCAGCCGTTGATATCAATAATTTCAACAGTGCTACCGTAACTACTTGTAAGTGCACAGTTCGTTTGACAAAACTTCTGCATTTTAAAATCCTTGCTGAGAGATTTAAAGGAGGCATTCACGACACTCGTGGTATCCCAGCGATTGCGCATAGTTTCGTGGGCGGGGCAAAGTGCAGAGCGCGGCACGATTATGAGACAAATCATTGGGACCATTGTGCACATTCGAGTAGACAACACTGTCAAGATATTTCGACGAAGAGTTTTTTCGACAAAGTTTCGAAAAACTGAAGGTTGTTTTGTTAGGAATTGATGTTGTGCTACTTTGTATAGAAATGTAACATATTGAAGAAAATATGTGAAGTGAGATCTGGTAAGTTTTCCATGCCGTCTTTCACTTGAAAATCAACATGAGTGGGTGTTGATACTTTGTGTTGTGCGTGCTTGAGTACATATTAATTTAAATACGGGAAATGAAACGATTTTTAATACACGTGTGTGTAATATGTGTCATTGACCTAAGGCATCAAATCCACAGCAAAGCGTTCTAGTTCCTACCTGAACAGTGCACGAAAAATCATAGAGCATCATTTAAAATTCCATAATTGGCATCTTAGATTAATCCTCGGTCGATGTTCGACTATTCGGAAGAGACCCCACAGCAGCAAGAATAACTATTTTGATAGAAGATTGGCAGTCTCAAAGCAAAAACTCAGCGATCCACAAACGATCGTTCGTGCCCAAGACCTGCGAGCTTTCTAATACAGTTGCCACGTGATTGTTAAGAAGACGAGTCTCGATCAGCATCCGATGTGTGAATTTGAAAGGAGAGTGACAGATTTTTTAAACTAGACAGACCCAATCACAGAAGACGAAATGGTGGAGCAGCAGCCAAAACAACGCGTGAAGTGTTCGAAGACCTTTGTGGACGATGAGTGCGAGGAAAACGGATCGGATGCAAGATGTGCTGAGATCTGCAGTGCAGGTTTGATTATGGGGCATGTAAAAAATGTATTAATGACAGCTGTTCTAGACAGCCCGTTCAAAAAGGAAAAATTAACATGACATGAAAAGAAAGGAATTCTTCAGAATGCCTTCTCCTGTAGCGAAATAGTTAGCGGCGGAGTGTAGCGGTTCAGATTGATGCAGAATATTAGCCACGCAGGTCTTTTAGTTGTTGTATTGATCTACCAACCCAAGTTTGAGGCTCATCACATTCTTCATACTTTGCCGTCGTCACGTTGTTGTTGTAGAACCTACAATTATTGAGTGAACTGTAAAAAGGCGATACGTTAAAAATGCACAAAAGTTTAGCACATCTTAGTAAATATAATGAATATTGAAAAAAGGATAAAGCTTTCGGCGTTGACCAATCACTGAAGGATGCGCCGTGCAGTCAACTTCGCTAAGCATTGTTAGACGTGCAGTCATAAACGAATGCATATCTGGCCTATACATTGTTTCGCGGTGGCCTACCGATGTATCGAGTCAGTGCTACCATTCTCCTAGACAAGCCTTGTACTAGTTTACCGATCCTGGAGAGATGAAAAGCTTGGTGGACATGGGCGAAGGGATCGATCCCGTATGTACCGCAGGGCGTCTCTAACCACTGCGTTACACGTGCCCCTACCGATATTAAAAAGAGACTGCTATTTTCTGGAGACGTTTTCTAGCAGATTTTCTGATGGTCAACAAATGCATAGAAGAATTAAGAACATAGAACAAAGGATCATAATCGAATTTAGCGATTTGAAAGAATTTTTAAAGCGAATCACTTTCGACTTATGGTGACACTAGTGTTCAACGGATTCAGGTGGAAGGGAGCAATGTCGCACAAATGTGTTATGCGGAATGAATAAGCAACCCGAATCATGAATCGATGAGGAAACGACGATCAAGCAAAGCGTTGTTGAATCTTATGTCGTACCTGTTTTCCATGCGCTTTAGCGAATTCGACATCATCCGTCCTCGGTTGTCCTACTGTGACAAGCTTAATACGATCACCATCGAATTCATTTTCTCAACATATGAGGCGGCCAATGAAGCCATTGCTCCGCCTAGTGAATGGCCAGCAATCTGAATGCCACGGAATTGAAGAAATTCCTCCAGAATCCAAAAAACTGCTAGGGTATATATTGCTGGCTTTTTTAAGACATACCCACAACTAATAATCTTTGTGCCTTGTAGAAGCGTTTAAGAAGGTGTTTTCCAATCCGGGTAACCAGACTCCCATGAATGTGTTGTAAAAGTATTCGGACGCGTAGCCGCCGGCAATTCATTTAATCTAAAGGGATTGTAATTTTTGTGAATGCAATGCAGCTTTTCAGTAAGGAAAATATTTTCTTCCTAAGTTCAAAGGACGATATTGGTGACTTTAGATTAAGGATAGCTGAAAGTTTAAGACCACAATGCGAGCAACTAACATGTCTGTAAAGGAAGCGAGACAAGACACCTTCAAGGCGGCTAAATTGGCCCGGTTTATTCTGGAAGACGGCAAAAGTAGTTATTTGGCATACTAATAGTCTACTGGAAGTCATCCTATAGGTGAAACATGCATTCTTCACCATTACAGCGCTGAATTGAGGTGGGGAGTGCAAATTGGCACTGATTCCAGTTTTAACCGAGTTCTGCAAATATCTCAAAATCATTGTGGTTGTATTTCATTAAAAAAAACCATGTATTCTCATACCAACTAAGTTTTTTTTTATTTGCATAAGCATTAGACATCTCTTTTATCGCTGGCACATCGACAACGGTAAAAGTTTTTCAACTATTATAAATGTCACGGATGAGTTTTTATCAGCAAAGCTTCTTAATTTGTTTTCTTATCTAAATAATTTCTCTGCAAGTTCTGGAAACAATGCAATAGTTGTCAATTTAAGAGCTTCTCGGTTAAACTGATTAATTGATTATTAGAGAATTAAGGGCTAGGAAACCAAAGGTTTAAAGCTTCACTGACCTTTTCCTTCATCACTATCGCTTCGGACTCAGTCCACAACTGCTTTTTCCTACTGTGCCTCTGCAATAGAGATTACTTTGATTTGAAAATCTATAAGAACATTAAAGGCAAAGACCAATTCTGGCCTGAATGCGACCATTATCACCTTATCTTGGTTATTAACGGCCACATAACCACTACAGGTGTCGGAATACTTGTCACAGTTTACTGTTACTGTGCGCAAAACTTACAAAACCTATAAAGTGGTGAGACTACTACCTTTACTTCATATGTATCGGAAAAAAGGTTAAATTATTTGATTACCCCCGTTCTACTGAATAAAATAAGCACTTTTTCTACCCCAATAAAACATCTCAACACAGGAACCAATTCGGTTTGGACAGTGAAGCCTACGAAGTGATGCCTAGTTGGAATCTGCACCATTCAATGTCGCTGTCAGCAAAAACCTACCAAAAACTAACCGGTGGCACCAGAAAACCTATTGTACGGGGTTCTTTTATCACAATCAAAGCCATTTCGAGAACCGTTCGCGTAGTTACTATCCCAACTCATCTGCAATCACTGGAATTCATTTTATCTATGAGGTACGGTGGGTCTTCATAAAATGCTTTTTCTGTGCTTATCCACTCCAGCTATCTGCTGCAGGAGTGCCTTATGGGAAAACTACCCTTATCAAGCTTTCATTTACATGGAATTCGCATCTTCTCCTCCTAAGGAATTCTTACCATCGAGGGTTCCTGGAGCTTGCAAGCAAATAACGATGCGGATGAACGAATAGTAGTCATAATGGAGAAAACGGAAACAGAAGCCGCAAATCTTCTTTAGATCCACCCCGACCAAGTAGTGTCCATTCGGATGGTCTGGGAACCTCGGCGCAACGCTTTATGCTGGGATAAAACATTCCAAACCAGAACTCCAACACCACCCATACGGGAAATATAATGACGAAAACAACTAACTCAAGCATTCAAACAAGTAGGTGCAATTCGTTAATCGCGTTACAGCCATCGAAGTACTACTGCAAAAGAATTTCCTTTCACATCGAAAACTGTTCTTTTCTGATTCATCACTTAGATAGTGTGCTGACAACTAACACTGAACTGAACTACAGGTATCTTATTTGTTAGGTCATTAGTGCGCTAGTGCTGCTGACTTGACTGACACATGCCCAAAGGAACCAACTCGGATTCGCCACAATTTTGTAAGATGTTTACAAGAGGATTCATTTTCAAAAGGACACAAACAGTCAGAGTACATAAAATTCACCCGTGAGAAACCGAAAGAAAACTGGCTTCCATTTCTAAACCTTCAAATTAACCAATCCGAGAACGGCTACAACACAAAATGGTATCGAAAGCCAAGCAGTAAGAATATAGTGGTTCACTACCGCTCCTCTCACCCCTCACACACTAAAAGAGCGCTTATAAGAAATATGTTTCGAACCGCCGCCAGCGTGTGCACAGGTAGAGAGCAGAGGGAAGAATCCTCGAAACTGGCGCGGCAAATAGCCATTTCAAATGGTTACGAAACTGTAGCTTCTCAGGATAGGCATCGAGGAAATCCCACGCCCTAAAGCGATAATTCTAGCGAAAACAAGACTCCGTTCCTGTTGCCCTTTATTTCAAACGAAATAAGTGCAGCTATAAAATGTTGCTTAATAAGGGCCGGTCTAGAGAATTCCGTAAGAGTGATAGAAATACCACCGGACACTCTAAGACGCCAGCTAGTTCGCAACCGCCTGTGCGACCGTCTACGTACAGCAAAAAACTGCATAATTTGCCCAAATGGTAGAGACGGTGATTGCATGAGTTCGGGTACAGTCTATTTGATCTCTTGTAAAGCGTGCGGGGACGAATACGTTGGCGAAACGGGTAGACCGCTCTGCGTCCGCATAAAAGAACACCTAGTCGGTAAATCTAAATTAAAACCAAACACTCCACTAGGCGCGCCTAAGATGCAGGAACACAACGGAGAAGATTTCGAAGTAGGAGTCACTGTCCTCACGCACGAATCGAAAACATCGGCTCGTAAAACTCTTGAAGCGTTTTGGATCAATTCCAAAACTTCAAAAATGAACCACAAGGAGGAGTGCTATGTATTACTCTGTGCGGCTGCTATCCACCAACTAACTTAGATACTTACAACAAATAAACGGTAGGTGTTTGAATGAAGCTGTTTCTTATGCGAATGCAAATCGATTTGTCAAATTTTATCTGCTAGGGTTGTGAAAGTGTTTGGCTGAGTAGATCACATCTCAATTTGACCTTTCCAGACTCTGAAGAAGGCGAAACCGCCGAAACGTCAGCAATTGTGTTCTAATAAATTCTATATTAACAACCTCGTGTCTGCTTATTGAAGAAAACCATTGAAAAGGATTCATGTTCTACATATTCTATAAATCCTATTATTCGGCTTTGTCGTTGTGAAGTTCCCTTTGTTGAGTCAATGACCGTCACAAGTAGTACAGTATTTGGTGGGTTTTTCTCGACTTCTACTTCTTTTGAGTGCAATAATCTCATTACAATCAAAGAACTTGTAGTAAATGAGCCCATGTGCCAAGCCAAGGAAATTTTAACCATTTCTGGTGCAAATTTATGTTCCAATACTGCTCCGAATCATGAATTTCGTCTATTCATTGACGAAATACCGCTAGGTGCCGCATTTAATCCATCTTTTAGTTGTCCTTCACAGTGCTGTGAAGGAACAGATCATTTTTGTTGAGCGAAAGAAAGTCAGAATCGTCTAGTTTTCATGTAGTTTTCCAGTTCTGGGCAAAAGTTTTGGAAGCTCTATCTTTATCGCAGCGCTTTACGCACACGTTCTCGAAGTGCACTACTTCAATCCTCATCGGTTGATAACTTCAAACGGGTTCACCGTAACACCCTCCGTTCTCAAACAACCTCCACCAAGGAACTGTCATCTTTGAACCACAATGATGCTGAGACATTTGCAAAACACTGGACCGCAGATGTCTGCGATGGAGATGGAACACGCTATTATCCTTACCGAGGGCAGACGAGTTCACCACCACACCATGTGGGTCCTTCATTTTGCCTTTCTATCAGCTATTTTCCTATCTACCAGTGCCTCATTATTTCTGTTATATTTTACATAACACCCTATCGTGAAAAATTGTTGTGGTAGGCAATAAATAAAAAGTTAACAGTGTCATATTTCAACCAACGTCGATCGTTAGTAGTTTTCTAACCGAATGTATCCCTGACATTGCCAACCATTTCCATGGTTTTATGTTTAACTCGTAACAATATTCCATGCAATGTAATGCTCGACTTTGCCTTTTTTCATTGTTATTTCACTATTACTTCGCACTGAATACGATTGAATATGAGTGCAAAGAGGTTAGCATGGTATTGTGGACTAAAAAGACGCGCTTCAAATTGCCGCACAATGGACATTAAATTTCGAACAACCACAACGAAACAAACGTACCGTTATATTATTGAAGAATGAACTCAGACATGTTTGAGAAATGCTTCCTTCGGTCGCAGCGCATAGTGGAACCACTTTCGTTCGTGCGAATTCATCAGAGAAAGGCATTCGTCGTGCAGCACTAGGAGAGAACACTGGCCCAGCATCGGCCCACGAAACCCCGACGACGATGGCTAGCACAATGCATTGCATCCTCATACGGAAAGAAACCTTGGCTCGCTTCTTCATGTCGCTATAAATAGGGAGGGTCTTCTTACCAGAGCGTCGATGCATGCCATATGCGGTTGTTGCGATATGGAGTCCGTTATTCATCTCAAAAATTTCTCTCGGCTTTGAAAAAACAAGATAAAGTATTAGTTGGCGAGAACACACGCATTAGGAAACCCCAATTGAGCAGTTTTGTCCATAACTTCTCGTAGTACTAATCAATGTTGGATTGTTGTGTAAAGCCTTGACATCGTAGCTAGCGAACGTCAAGAAGAAACAAATGCGGTATAACAAAAAAGTTTGAGCGCGAGATTTATTTTTTTCCACTGGAACAGAATTCTGACTTTGTAGATATAACCACTTATTCGGAAAAATTTGCAACGCTGGCTTGGTTACTGAAAATTTTTCCTAGAAGTGGTTGTTATCGCGCTTGAAAAAAATTTTAAGCGGCCCATAAGAATGATTGGTGTGGGAGAGTTTCGAAACCAAAGCCGTTCAACCAACCTTATCTGTGTATTTAGGATCTAGCGTTATGCAAGAGGATTTGACGTTGCCTGGTGACCGATTGTGGATAAACACGCTGTAATTTTTATGTCTAGGGGCGCGCGTAGCGCACTGGTGCCATGCAATACACATGAGATCGATCCCCGCGTCCCAAGATCACCAAGTGTTTCATCTTCCGGGGTCACAAAATTGGTACCATACTTGTCTGCGAGGATAGTACCACTGGCTCGGTAGATTGGTTGACCACCACGAGTTATTGTAAAGGCCAGGTATTCATTCGATCACCTCTAACGATGGTTACTGAAGTTGAATGCGTGGCGCATCCCTCAGGGATTGATCAGTACCGAGAGCTTTATCTTTTTTTTAACTAATTTTCGTATCTATTCTACGAGCATCGTGACAGTCCTTCCCTGCTATAATCATTACGCCGGACTCAGAATGTTGCGGCCGATGTTACCATCTGTAGACCAACTAACACTCGCCATAAGCTGTTTTTACTGAACGTCTCAATGCGATTGAAAAACGGTTCTGTGAAGGAAACCCACAGAAGACGTCACCAAAGTGGTTTCTTTGTTCTCCATTCATTTTATACCACATCGATCTTTTATCGAACTTTTCTCTTTCCTAATTCCAGTGACAAATAACTGTTTACCCGCTCACAGTGAACCTTTCTGTAGTCTCTTCAGTAGTTTTTAGAGAGGAACTCTTATCTCCGATGTTAAACTCTGCAGGGAAATGCAAACTTTGCACCCTGTGTGCGGAAACGTTTCTACGGCTTCGTGCACTGATGATACCTAGAATTAGAATACTTCTACAGGAAAATGGCTATGTTTGAAGTAGTGAAACCAAACGGGAATAATTTCTCGTTCTGAAATCAGGCGGTATAATGATATTAAAGTGAAAAGATAAGAAAAAGGACATTATTATACCATCCGCAGTTCAATTCATCAAAACCAGGTAATTGAAGGCAGGACTGTTGATGGTAAGCGAGGATTTCAAGTTCTATGAAAAGGTACCTGAGTGTAAGTATGGTATACGTACACATTCATGTATATATGCATA